AAAGTTAATACCTGCAGAGATTTTTTAATCATCAAAAGATTCAACCTTAAAAGTTTTATGCTTGATCTACCTAGTCTGGACCTTTGTCACCTCATTTCCAATCTTCTATAGCTACACATCTGAAATCAGTTTCTCCATCTTCTAACTCACCTTCTATCTTATAGCAAGATCTTTTGTTATTGTTGCTACTGCATCCAAAACTAGCAGTATTAATAATGCCTTCCATATGGCAAATGGTTAAGATTAAGAGTAAAGACAGCTGATTAAATTTCTCAAAATTCAAGAGATAAAAACATAAGCAGATACTCAAAATCCAAGTTTAGCATATTTTAATTAAAAGTTCATAAACCATTTTCTTTCCAGATGATCTGCCAAAGAAATCCTAAAAAACTATAAGGATCCACTAAAATAAATACTTGAAATTTAAGATATTGACAGAAAGTACCTGCTCAAGACCATCCACTGTGGCATTAGCTTTATCATCATCAACACCAACATACAGTGGCTCCTTTTTCAGAGAAATCCGAGCCAGATCTTCAACTTTCCGAGTTTGTGTGGCAGAAAAGAGCATGGTCTGTCTCCGTGCTGAAAGCAGATACATATAAAAATAACCCAATCTTTCAGGGATTCTTCATAGTTGCTTCTCTCTCAAATACAGGTGCCCCAAAGATAATCAACAGGAATGGGAGAGGTATTATTGCTAGAGATATTCAAAGACTAAAGATAAATAATCATGATCATTTTTATGTCCATAAATTTGACAACTTAGATGAAGTGGACAATTTCCTTGACACTGAAGTTTACTCAAGAAACAGAAAACCAGAATCACCTTATACCTACTAAAGAAAATGTACTTAAAATATTTAAGCAGAGAAAATACCACTCCCAAAGGTCTCCAGTGGGGAGTTCTATCAAACATTTAAGGAACAAGTATCACCAACTGTTCAGAAAGTCTAGAGGACATTTCAAAATGCATTCCACAAAGTTAAGCAACTATTTCTGAATAAAGGACAACTACAAAAAATCTACAGCGGATACCATGTTTAATGGTGAAAGACTGAAGCTAAGCAATGAGGCAGAGATGATCTCTCTGCCACTTCTAGTTAGTATTATTTTGTAAGTTCTGGCAAGTGTAAGAAATACATTAAGTAACATTTTATTAACTTTTTAATTTGCAAATGACACCACTGCCTATGTAGAAAATCCAGTGGATTACCTGGAATGTCATAGTGAACAATCCAGTTGAGTAACAGATACAGAATCAATATACAAAAAACAACAAATAATGATTTGAAGTAAAAAAAAAATGAAACATTAGGGATGATTCTGACAATGAATGTGTAAAAACCAGTACAATGAAACCTCTAAAACACTGTTGAGAGGAATTCAAGCGCTGTCAATGGAGATTCATCTTATTCACAGATCAAGCAACTAATAAACATTTTGTACCAATGATCTTTATTCAATACAGTCCTAATCAAGATCTCAGATGACTGTTTTAGGGGATATAAACTGACAAACTGATTCTAAAACTGATATAGATATGCAAAAGGGACGAATAGTCAAAGCAGCTGTGAGGAAGTGGCACTTTCATACATTGCTAAAGGCACTGCAAAATGGCGTGAGTCAGAACCATATACCGTCACTCCATTCCTAGCTACTCAAGAGAAAATATACGCTCAGAAAAAGTGATACATATGAATGTTCACAGCAACTTTACTTGTAATAGCCAAAACCTTTAGCCATCACAATCAGCAGCTCTTAGGAATTGAATGGCTAAACAAGGTGGAGCATTTTACACACTGGGATGCTGCTGAAGAATGAAGCACTGGTACTTGAGGCAGGATGGATGATGGATCATCACAGAATTTGCAAAGCAAAATATCAGACAATAAGTGTAAAACAATATGAAACCTTTCACATAAATCTCTAGGAAATGCAACTGATCTAAGGTGACAGAAAACTGACTGACAGCCCCTTGGGAGAGAGTGTGACTGAGAGATGGGAATAAAGGGAAGGAATACAAAAGCCACACAAAGAAATTTTTGAGTGTTATGGATATGTTCACTGTATTGATTGATGTTTTCAGACTAAACATGTCAAAACATACCAAATTGTGCATTTAGAACGTGTTGAAGACCATTAGTGAACTGTGTGCCAACAGAGCATTAAAAAAACAAATCATATAAGGAATGGGATCATGGCCTATTACAGCATAAACAATTTTAATATAATTATTATAACCAAGGTGGGGGGGCAGTGGGGAGTTCATAGCTACTGTATAAATTTCTAGTATTCATATAGGAATATCCCTCACCTATTCCCAACAGTTTTTTTTTTAAAGATTTATTTATGCATACAAGAACTGGGGTACATACAAGAACAGAGATATGGGAGGTGAGAGGATTCAACAGAGACAGAGTGGGGAATGAAATACTCTGCTGAAGGGAGTGGGTAAGGCAGGAGAGGTCTGCTGTGCATGTGGGTCACCTCCCTGGCTGGGGCTCAAACTCATGCTGCAGTGGCTGTAGATAGCTTCCTAGTGCTGCGCTCTAATCCCTTGTGCCTCCAAGGAGGGCCCTCCTCCCAAAAGTTTTTACAAACCACATGCCATGCCACCTACTTACTTGGCAGAAGTTTAATAATTTGTTTTAATTCCTCTTCAAACCCAACATCCAAGATCCGATCAGCCTCATCAATAACCAGACACTGCAGGTTTTTATACATAAACCCTGGGGTATTCTGACAAAACAGGAAACAAAGAAAACTATTAGCTGTCAGGTTTTTCTTTCACCCGGAACAATGAGACAAGTCCAGTACTTCCTAAGAGAGTTCTCTTACTTGCATATGGTCCAGGAGACGACCTGGCGTGGCCACAATGATGTTGATCCCATTGGCAAGTTTCTGTGCCTCAGCAGATCTGTTGCTGCCACCCATTATTAGCCCATACGTGTGAACATGGTGTGTCATCAGCTCCTTAAGAACACCAAAAGTCTGCATGGCCAGTTCCCTAGTAGGTGAGAGGATAAGGACTCCTGTTCCTAAACCACAAAAAGTAACACATGTCTGTAAAATCCTGACCTACCATCACAAGTCTATAACAGTCACATTCAACTTCTAGTGAAATGAGGGCTGAAATAATCCGATCAAAGGCTTACCATTCCTGGGCATGAACTTCAATTTTACAATGAGTTCCACTGCAGGGATGAGAAAGGCAAGGGTTTTGCCACTACCTGTTTTTGCAGCTGCTAGAAGATCCCTAAATATTAAAAAAAGAAGACATTTGGTCTACTAATCCAGCACTTATTTATGAAATACTTTTCATGCACTACCACGTTTTAGACGAACATGAAAAAGGACACAGCCCCCACCTTCTCTGTCTCTGAAATCCATCACTTGGGTGAGAAATAACTCAGAAGAACAGTGCTATAAATCAAAAGTAAGCTTTCTCCAAATATCAGTAACTTAAGCCTTTAATGCAGATAATCCAACACAGTGTAAAATCAACAATGTTTTAATTCTTTTAATGTAGCATTAAGGATTGAAACCGTAATGCTCAAACATCATTGTTAATCATACCTGCCTTCCAGAAGTGGTTTGATACTTTTATGTTGAATTTCTGTCATATTCGTAAAGCCCATTTCTTTTATTGCCTTTAGAGTGTTCTCATTGACAAGATTAGTTAGGGAGTCAAATGAGGTATCCTCAAAAGCTCCTAAAGGGAAGAAAATTTATCATTAATAAATTTATCTTTTAATTGTTTATAGTCAGCTGCCCAAATAAGCTTTGCTTATTGAAAGCACTTCTGGGTTGGAATCAAGCTTCCAGTGAGAAAAGACTAAAACAACCGTTACTATGTAATATTAAAAGGGCGACTTAAACCGTTGAAGCTTCTTCACTGCTTGATGGCTGATTATGAAGTCTGGAGCCTATCCTGTCACAAAATAACAAAGGATGGGTCCCCACTGTCTTCTGAGTATGAAGTCTATTGAAAGAATACCTACTCTCATTCTCCAAAGTAAGTGGGAAGAGTCAGCTATAGACAGATTATAAAATTTATCAACAGAGTGGTTCTTTACAGGGAAAGGGCATCAAAATCACCCAGGGGTCTCCCCTCCCCTGCATGTCCTGGCAGCAACAAGGCATTTAACACTGGCACTCACGATGTCTTGGGTTGGCCAATTCTTGTTGTGAGGTGGTCCTTGTACATTATAGTATGCCCTGCAGCACTCCTGAACTGTAGAGGCCAGTAGCCAGTCTTCAGTCCTGGCAACCACAAATGTTAGTGGCCAACCCTTCTTGATTTGCCAGGGACAGAGGTTGTTTATGGCTTGCAGGAGTTTCAACACTAAAATGGGCAAATTCTAGACAAACTGGCCTGAGTTGGTTACCCCTGGGAGGCAAAACTTCCCTGTCTGACAACCACAGCCATAACTATGCAATTTTAATAAAATTGTTCTGGGGTTGGGCCTCAGCATTTTAATAAACAACCATCCAAGCCAAACAACTCAGTAACTATTAGATGTGTCTGCGTAGGAGCAATTGATTTTAGATTTTTGTTTTAAACAGGGAAGGTGGATTTAGTGAATATCCTGCATAGGAGAAGGAGGTAGATGGGAGAGGTCTCCAGTCTAGACGCTTGACTTTATAAAGATACAAATACCAAAGGAGGCCAACCCAGCACATGTCCCTCTGCAATGTTAATTTTATCACACTTTCAGTAGTAACTGAGCCAGGATCAAACTCACTGCAGACTTTTAGTCCAATGACTTTCCTACTACAAGGTGGAACAAGCTTCAAAAAATTCACAAACCAAAGGAACAAAGGGTCCTAGAAGCTGTGTGCAGATCAAAACATTCAGTATTAGGAATGAAGAGAAGAAAAAAATAGAGAAGAAGAACTAAAGGACACAAAGTGTAACATAAAAAGCAACAAAGGAACTTCAAATCCTGTATTCCAGAAGGGCATGCATTTTAAAGATGATGTAGTTGTAAAACTTCCTGGTGGTTACCTGTCAGTCCCAGAGGTAGACTGGGCACCTCACTGTCCTCTTCCTCGTCACCGGGCTTCTCCACACTATCTTCTGCTTCTTCAGGAGCCTGGTCATCTTCAGATTCCCCTTGGTCTTCAACTTTTGCTTTTTTGGTATCTTTGATTTTAAAGATTAAAACATTTTTTCCCTTCAAATAACAGTATCAAATATATTGCAAAACAAAAGATGGGTGATGCAACAAGATGTATCTTCAAAAGTTTAATACATTACACACTTTTAATTTACTAAGAATGTATCTTTTGGGGCCTTCCCTGATGGCACAACAGGTTAAATCACAGCACTACAAAGCTATCTGCAGCATGAATTCAATCCTGGGCCAGAGAGGTGACCCACACGGCACAGCCAACCTCTCCTATCTTATCTATTGCTCCTCTCAGCAGTGTACTTTAGTGAATCTGCCTGTTCTGCTCCCCACTGCCTCTGGCTGTACCCCAGTTCTGAATGAATGAATAAATCAATCTTAAAAAAAAAAAAAGTTTCTTTTATGATTAAAGATCTGGTTATACTTTAACACCCAGGGACTCATGCATGTTTGCCAACAAAACTTCACTTTCTAGG